AAACCCCCCCTCGCCGCGAACTGCAGCGGACACGGACCCGCGCGCAGGATCGCGCCCCGCTGCAGGAGGGTGCCGCCGAGCGCCTCGCCTGTCACACGCGGCACAAGCCATACGCCGGGAGGGCGTTAACTTGAAACCAGCAGATGCCACTGATTTAAACTCCACACCCGAAATTCTGCACCTACTCGACTGGAATAACTTCCGGCAGATTTTCCTGACGCAAAGCCAGACGCGGTTCTAGCTAATTATCAGCTGCTTCCGTAACGCAGCTCTCGTTTCACGCGCCCACGACGGAGAAGAAAAAACACAGGAATTAACTGGCAACGAAGGAGTTCAGGCTTCCCAGAAGCCAAGCAGGAAAAAAAAATGTTACACTAGCAAGAGATATGAACACGTCCCGTAGTAATATTACATCCAACTGTCTCTTGGTGCAGACTAGACTAATTCATACATTAAAACTATCAGCGGAGAGACTTGGAAGGGTCGTAACTGTTCCTACGCCGTAACGACTAGCTTTCCTCCCTACGGCCACTCCTCTCTCAAGAGGAGCAAGCAAGGACATCCAGCTTTTGAGGATTTCAAGCTAAATATCCATGCATGAGAGTCAAGCAGCACATACTACTAGAGTGCCGACAGCCCCCAGCTGGGAGCAGCACCCTCTTCATCTGAGATGCAACGCACAAACGTAAGAAGAGGCATTTCCTGTCTGATGAGCAAGAGAGGACCAAAATCTTGTCATCATCCACGCGTAATCTTGGTGAAAGGCTCTTTGGCTTTGCTCAGAGTGCCACAGATACAGGGACCATCACCTTGCCCTGGTTGGGGGTGGTGATGGAGAATCAACGCGCCAGCTCCCAGCTCTCCTCCCTGCAGGCTTGCCTCATACCCAGCCACAAACCTGCACATGCTCAACAGCATGGAGCCGACCCTTGCCTCTGCCTTCTTTGCGCTTGTTTTTAGCGCAAGGGTAGCAGCCCCCCAACCGCTGCCAGAGCAAACAGGCAGATTTGGAATAATAATGCAGTCAGGGCTCCCGAGCCCATGGCTACCTACAGCAGCACTGGTGGGTGACCTGAGGAGTTTATTAGCTGCAGCTGCTCTCCAGGAGGTTAAGTTTTCAGGCAGACACCTGTACAAACCCTCCATGCCCTTGCCAGAGAGCTCATCTGTAAGCTGCTCTAACACCCCCTGTGGCTCTGGGCAGCAATCAACTCCCCAGGAGCAAAGGTGTCTCTGCAGAAGCCTGTGTGGTAGCCTTCTCCTGGAAGGCTGTTCAGGTTTAAATGGGAGAGCATTGGTAACCATCAGGGACAGGGAACCCACTCGCTGCTGAGCCATGGGTACGCTGGCAGAGTCAGTTTTAAAAAGGCAACTACAAAGTGCGTTAGGACAAAGCTAGAATGGTATGTGGGCAGAGGAGACAGAAGCAATGAGGGGTGTATTAAGCTTATCAGCTCGATGCTTTGATCTAGCTGAACCTCCTGCTCCCCCATCTCTAGAGGATGGGGAAGGAGGCAGTTTGCCTTTTTTAAACCGCCCACGTGAATTTCCCACCTCTGGATCTGACTGATCACGTGTTGACTCTAAATTGTGCTAATCCTGAAGGCCATTATATCTGCTAAGGATCAGGAGAGTACACATCAACCAGACCCACCCCTCCTCCAGCCACCATCTACGCTGGCAAAAGAGCAGCGACAGGGCCTCTGCTCTGCCAAGACAGTCTTTAGCCAGCTGGATAAAAGCCTGTCACATATCCGCTTTGCAGGATATGCAGAGAGCTAAGGGGCTGTGACAGGGGCCAGAAGCTGGCCCAGAGACTCTGAATTCCTACCTGCAGAATTGCAGGCAGCCTAGAAGTCAAGTTGCTTTTATGGCTGTGACTCTGCACCATACACCGCTTTTCCTCTCGCCCTGTTTTCAGTGTGGTCTCTGGCACAGACATAGAGCAGCTCTGCCCCACAGCTGTGCCTCTTCCACCGATACTAACAGAAAAACAAACAAGCAAACAACCCTGGAGGTGTGATAGAACCTGTGCTTCAAAAGATTTATTACATATATTTGTACATATTTTACATGAATGGAATGTTACACATACAGCCTAAAAAAAAAAAAATCAATAAAAAAATATTTTCATTCATGATTATGTACTGGCAGACCATCAAAAAAAAGTACCTTACAACAACTTAAGTCAGCTTGCAATCATACTGCTCAATTAAAAAAGAAAAAAAATTACAAATGTCTTTTACATTAGACATGGCAAATTACATTCTGATTTCTGCTTAGGGTAAGGAAGGAAGACATCTTGCCCATTATGGCTACACGTAAACGTAGCGCTTCCTAAGCGATCCCGGAGTTTACCACCATCTACCACTTTGTCAACAGGGTGAGTTCTGTGGAAAGAGGCATATAAAAAAGGGGGGATACCCCCACTGCGCCCTCTGCCAGCAGGTACAGCTGCTAAATGGTAAGGAGAGCCAAGACGAGTTTCTCAGTCAAGCGATAAGGTTAACGCTGGATCACCACTTGTTAAACGTGATGCTGCAGCTTTTAAAATTACGTAGTTCATGCAGACGTCCCCTCTCCACCTAAGCTGCCTCCTTTCTGCCTCGCAAGTTACAGTACTTTGGCAATATCAGCTAGAAGAGAATTTTTTTACTGTACAATAATGAATACTTGAGCTTCATCTTAATATATGCAGGAAGAACACAGAATCCTGCTTTGATGCCTTTTCCTGCTACATTTCACACCTCAGGAGCTCATGACCACTCATGTTGAGAAGTGTTTACTATTAAAAACAACAAATTGGAGAGGGAAAAAAAAAAAAAAGGACAGATCTGAGGGAAAACAAGAGCAACAGGATTCAGCAACAGATTAGGTACTTGCAACGTCAGGTTACTTACATTTGAAACTCTGCCAGAATCAAGCAAATCCGACTTATCATTGCAAGATCTTTGCCAAAGCACACCCAAGGGCAAAAGTCTCTCAAACAAACATACATAGATTAAAAGCTGCCAGAAAGATCAGCGACTAGCAGGCTCGCTGCCTGCGAGCTACTGTACATTGGCAACTTATTAGGTCAGAGACAGAACCAAGTCCAATCTTCAGGTGCAGGATAGTCCTATGACAGTGTATCTGAGCAAGACTTCAGCAACTAGTAATGCCCCACAATTAGGTCATTTTACAGTGTATCCTGTCATCAGCTCTGATGTACTCACTGAGAAATTACTGTGCAGTACACTAGGCAGTGGCTTGAGAAGCAAACCAAATCGTAGCACCGTACTCACAAGATAACCAAATGCAACTGCAGAGACTCTCAACGCTGTTCTTTTTCAACAGGCTAAACCATCTTCAACCTGATTTTAGGAGCAAACAGCGCTTCTGTTAATTTATGCAGAAAAACATCATAGACGTTTTGCATTTCGGAAGCAGAAACTGGCCACAGTTCTGGTGCAAATTTCTCACACGGCATATTTTGGATGACAAAAACCTAAGTGGCACAAGCTGATGACACTGCCACGGGGTGGGGGGGTGGGGGGCAGAGTTTGTCTGGGTGGCAGCAAAACTGTAATAAGCCTTCCTCTTCCAACTACATTCTCTTACTTGTCTCTTAATGATGCCAATGGAAAGCATTTCCAAGGATTAAGGGGGACAAGACTCTAAAGAAGTATCATTTCTTCATCTAGGAAGAAGGGAAGAATCTGATAATGAGTGTTAAGCTTTGAGGGGTAGAAACTGAATCACAAAATGTAGCATAGTCGGAAAAAATGAGTTAATCTCCCATAGCAAAGGTAAGTTGGAAGATCCCGTAGTAGCATTTCTGTACTCCAGGATCTCGGGAAACTGCAACTGTACATCAGAATCAGCAGGTACAAAACAGCAAAACCAAATTTACACACAAATGTTCTTTTTCAATGTGACAAAGCAGCTAAAATTCACAGAAACTCAGAGATATCACAGTTTGCACCAGAACCAACGTATGCTTTGTTGCTGTTTACTTAGAGATAGCAAGAATATTCAAGTGCCGAGTTCCCTGCTTTTGGTGGAACACAGGAAAAATGAGGTGAGTTTCTGAAGCCCTCCAATGGAAAAGAAGGCATACTAAAAACGTCCATAAACACATCTCACGTGTATTAGACATTAGCCATCTATAAACACCAAAGATCTAGATTTCTGACTAAAAATTATCTTTTCCCCGTTTGCTGAGATTTTAGTCTTCTGGGAGTCAGGTTTACTAGCTCTCCAGCCTTTCAGCAAAAATTTAATTAAAAAGCTAGTATTCCTAACATTAAGAACTAGGATAAATATATAAATCTCAAGATTGTTTAAGTCATAAAACCCTCTTTATATCATAAAGAGGGGGAGTAGAGAGAGAAAAAAGGTCACAAGTATCCACCCACATCTTTGTACATTACCTACAAACTTACCATTTAAAAATACTGCAGTACGCTTACCCTTGAATATGAAAATTAAATTGATTACAAACAAGACCATCTGTCTTACACTTTACTTTTCCCCAAAATAAAATACTGCCAATTTGCAGTGTGCTTCATATTTTTCCTTATGTCCCATTGAACTCACCATCTAATGTACATGTTGAAAGAAAATTAGCTGATTACTTCAAAGAAAAATGTTATTATAGATGTACTGATTTATAACAGACAGGCTAATCAGTGCCCTGTACTGACAGTAGCATGGCTCTCTTGGCATTGTATGGACTACAGTTATATACAATCCCAATCATAGCCACTTGCACTATTAACTTTAGAAAAACAGTTGCTACTAAAGATACCCAGTTATGTTACAAACTCAAAAAAACCTCACATTTCAAGACAGCGTTGTGTCTACTCTTCCTCTTCTGGCAAGCAGCTTGTTAATAGCAGACCTGAGTATGGAAATTGCTTCACAGCCTTACATACTTTGAGAAGATATAGGCCAGATAACAGAAAATATTCTGAGACAACATAGAATTGGCAATCTCAATATATTTACAGGCAAAGAAGCATATCACATCCTAATTTAACTTATTGCTTCTTGTGGACAAGCATGGTGTTCTGTGACTGAGACAAAAGGACTCTTTGTTTGGTGTTTCTTCCCTCTTTTGAAGCACAATGATTCAGGACCGCTGTGAGGATGTTTTTAAAATGAAGGTGTTGCCAATAACTAGAGTTGCGTATACGGCGCGCTCATCTCCAACTGACCAACATAGCTGGTGATAGAAAGCTTAATGCAGGTGAATTTCCACAGGACTTTTTAAACCTAAGCACCAGTCTTATGTGTCTAGGGTCACTGTAGGCTTGGTCCATATTACAGGTTTTGATACAAGCCAACTTTCCATAGGTTTTGAAAGGACATTTATGTATACTGAGAATGCAAAACTAGGGTCTAAGGCTGACCTTGTATCAAATAATCCAAAGTATTGCTGCTCAACTGGGCCAACTGTTGCCTGCAAAACCACAGATTTGAAGCAATTGCTAGTGGCACGCTTTTCCAACATCGGCCCTGAGTGTAGGTCAGCAGTGATGACTGTTGGGTCTTCAAACCATCTACTTGCATCTGATTGCAGAAAATCAAGGTTTACCAAAAAAAAAAAAAAAAAAAAGCAGCTAATGTACTAAAATATGAACTACTGAAACTAAGCTTAAGTTGTAAACAGATTTGTGTTTATAAATATTTATCTATTTCATCCCCAAGCCAAAGACTATCTACGACCTTGGAGCATGGGACACCAAAACACTAACCTACCTCCTTTACATACTACAGATCAGTTCCTATAGGCATGAAGCCAACAGTAAACATTGAATCAATGCAAATGCTTTACTTTCAGAAGACAGAAAAATTCAAAACATCGGAAAAGTGGACCTCCAGGCAACATCACTATTAAAATACTACAGGTGCTGTAATTTTTCCTCCCTTAATGATAATACAAGGCAACACAATGATTCTCTGCTAAAAAGGAATCTGTACAGGAAACTACTGTACATTTGATATGACTACTGAATTGAAAGTATGACAAAATGGTTCTGCTCCCACTGAAAAAGGGAATACAATAGGGCCCCATAGCTACAGGTTCAGTTGAAACCAGTTATGCAAGTCAAAAAAATGCAGAAACCGCACTGTTGATCATGACTGTTATCTAGCTTGGACTCCTCCTGATTTGCAGCACAACAAAGGCATTTCACAGAACAACATTCAGGGGAAAACGTTATCCAGGCAAGAATCACTCTGCAAGCAAGATAGGAGTCTAATAACATGCAATGCACTTGTTTTCCTGGATAGCAGCAGTTGCTACTTTTCTTTGCCCTTTTTGATATGAATCACAGTAGCAACAGAGAGAAATATGTATTTAAACAAAAAAGGAAAGCAGAATTATGTATGCACAAGAAAAACATTTAAAGTGTTGTGCGATTTATTTTAACTACTGAAACCACTAAAACGTCTGTCACTAATAAATAATCATAAACTCTTCCCTGTACTATGAAATTCAGAAACTATGAATTAATTCTTGATATAAAAAGTATGCTTCTAAGCCCTGATATTTGTTCCAGTTTTTTGTCTTTTTTTTTTTTTTGAACTTTGATACTTTATGGGAACTAATACTTATCCACAGTTTTACTTAGTGTACTCCTCCAGATACATCCTACATTTCATGGAGCCCTGGTTGTATCAATATAACATAGTAAAATAACAATAAATTAAACAAATGCAGGTGCCTTAAAAAAAAAAAAATCAAATCACACTGTCAAATGCCAGTCTTCACATGAAGAGACCAATGATTCACATGCAAAGTACTACAGATCCTGCCATCAAAAAATATTAAAACAAGGAAACAAAAAAAGCTTGCGTATAAGTGTTTTAAAAATTAAACACAAATCCTACCTCGATGTTATCTCCCACGCCTACAAAAAACTTGCTGTGCCCACATTTGCAGTTATTCATTTACACCTCAGGAGGCAGCCTGGAGATGAGAGTAGTATAATAAAATAATTACCTGAAATAGTTTTTAAAAAAATACCCGTTAAACAAATTACCTTAACTGGCAGCACTTAAAATTGGTAATTCTTCTTTTTTTTTTTTCCTATTAAAAAAAAAAAAGTTGCATAGCTGTAAGATTTTGCTTTGCTGCATTTCTTTTTCGGTTTCACTCACAAGCAGTAAAAGAGAAGTTTTAGTTACTTAAATAGCAACACAATGTGCAGATTTCAACGATCCCTATAGCTTGATCAATATAAATTAGTTAACCTGTCTTGGTTTTACTCTTTGGACTGCATTGTGACAAAGGTTCAGTTACAAAACTTTGAAATATAGGATTCCTATGCAGAGAAGTTTAGGTTTTCTGCTCTTGAAAAAAGTGAAGAACATACTATAGGGCGTGATTTCAGTAAATAAGGTCACACTGTTAGATTATATTATATTTAGGTTGCCATTTACTCTTCTTCAGCCAATAAGAAGGTGAAAGCGTTCCCTCTCAAAAACGGGGCCATCCTCCTGTTAAGAGTCTCAGAGAGCATGTATCGAACGTCTCAGCTTCCACTTGAGGCAGTGGGAAACGCGTCCAAGAATCGGCTTCTTCACAGAACCAGAAGTTAGGCTGAAATTAGGAACTTTGGCCTTTCAGTAGAAAATAGCATCAATAACGTCTGTGGGGAGTGGACTGATACAGAAGGTGCAGCATTTTCAAAATCCCTGTGTGTCCTTTGCATGAGTGTTTGGTATACTGAGCACTACTGGCAAGTAACGGGTCTCTGCAATGTTTATTCCACGTCACTGTCCACGTTTGCCCTTCTCAGCCCCAAAGAACCGTAAGTCTCAAGCCAGGCACGCTGTGTTCAGCGAGGGAACCTCAGTCTCCTATGTTTTCCGATCAGTGGAAGCAGCTGTTGAAAAAGCAGAAGACAAAGTATCATCATTTCAGCTATTTCAGTACATAGCACAGGGAAACGTGAAGACGAACATCGTGTTTTCCTTCCCCTTTTCTCCAAGCCCCCAATTATCACTGCCTCTGCTGTGATAAAAAAGCAAATTGGATTTAACGCGATGTTAAGACACCCATGAGCATTTACAGAGACAAATGTGTTTATAAACAGCATACGGGCTTCTTCCACAAACCAGTGGTTGGATACAATAAATAAAGTACAATGTTTATTTGTTTGTTTGTTTAGGCTAATGCTGCTCTGAGGTTAAAACAGTTACTCTTGCAGCAGGAGATACTTTCCTTCAGGTTTTCTCTGTTGCTCCTGCAACAGTCGTATCTAGTATCGTTGCAATGTGACCCACAACACAGATCTCATTGTTAGTGTTTATTTGTTAATTTGTCTAATTTTGTTTATTTTGCTTCATGAGTCTTTTTTTTTTTTTTGAAACTTAACACACAACAAAACACAAACCCTTCATCTACTAGCAAGGAATTCAGGTATCTCTATAAGAATTATTATGACCGCTGGTGGGTTTTGCAATGTTTGGGGCCAGCAGCTAAAGATTTCAAACGGGGCAACTAAAAGAATAAACCTATCCTTTAAACCTTTGACACCGATTGCAGATCTGAAATCATTAACACAAAACATAACCTGGAAAATGTGAAAATCTATGGGATGGGATGGATAGGAACATGTTGCATTTGTTTTTTTATTTTCATTCTCGAATGCATTAACATGAAAGTGTTTTTGAAAATATGTAGTTTAAACTTTTTTAAAAGATTCCAAAAGCTTTTTGTCAGAAACAAATGCCAGTGTTCATGCAACAATCCAAAGTTACACGATTATATTATTTTAATTTTGCTTCATTTCCATGGCAAAAATAGTCTCTAAAAGTTAATGCTAAACCTTTATCGGCATTGAACTGCCACTTTCCACTACTAATACTGGAATACATCATTCCAGATCATGCCATATAAGGATGCAGAAGCCTTTTACATATTTAATATACTTCAATATTTACTAATTAATATTGCAATTCTGAGACCCAGTAGAAAACTCACAAATTAAAAAAAAACACACAATTTATTTCACATAATCAAAGTATTTATTCTGGAAACATCCTTGTCTAAAAATAATATTACCTAAAAACATGAATCTTGTCTTAATCTGATGGATGCTCAGGGCAAGATCTATTTACTTCAAACCATTCATCTATGCAGCTGTTGGATGAAAGACAAAAAAGAAAAGAATTGCTAGATGAATCTCTTGGTAACATTTAGCAATAAGATATGCATATTAATTGATTCATCATAATTTAAATGCATAGAAGGATTTTATGCTATGCAAAGAAATAGAGGCATACACACACACACACAATATTTTAAATATTATTTAAATAGTCACATACACGCAGAAAATAGTATATTTGAACATTCATTGAAAGCTGAGTAACTCTCAGCCACAGTAGCATACGGCTGTTAAATATAATTGAACAACTAAATATCTTAAGTGTTAAAATTTCCTGTAAGCAATCATTTTACAAATTCCTATCCAGCTTTTACATGCAGGTTACTTGCCTACTGACACCATTATCTTGCTGACATCTTTTGTTTTAACTACAGGAGGCAGAACATCAAACACAAGGGAAAACAAACTTGAAACAGGTTTAAGAAGTGAGTGGATTTTTTTCCTGCTCCTCTTTCCCCACATAGGTGATTACAGTTTTTGCTTCTGTCTAGTTTTTTATGCAAGTGTGAGAGACTTCAAATACATTAGAGGAGACACAGAGATGTCATATTTATTTATTTATTTATTAATATAAGAAGTGATTAAGTTTTAGTGCTTCTTGAAGCACCCCTTAGAGGTGATACCCAATAAATACAACCTTCCAAAATTTTATATGCAGCATGAGGAATACTTACCCTTTATGATATATGCAGAGGCAAGGCAGCCGTGCTATAGTATCTCCTTGCTGCAGCTCTTCCAGGCATATTGCACACTCCCCAGTATCTTTACTCAGCACATCCTCTGAAGAAAGGACACAAAGTTAAATGGTTAGAAAGCAGATCACTAAAGGCAAAGTGTTCTTTATTCAGAATATCAAGGAAGATACTTCTGGTCCTGTGAAAGCCTCGTCATGGTGATGCTCAATCACACTTCTGCCAGGTGACTGAAGATTCCTGAGGGGAGACATCTTAACAGCTCAAAATTAAAATATGGTTGCGACTCAGTCTTTTGCCTAAACACAGCTGTGACTCAAAATGAAATCCTGTAGGGACAAACCCATTCACAGCATGCATGGAGAAGATGGGTAGCCCTAATCAAGAGCCAGTAACCCTTTGAACTTTATACTCTCTCGGCAGATCATCTCCCACCACGCAGGATGCTCTGGTCTGAACCCTTAAACCTGTGCTCTGGACCGTTCAGCTGCAGCGTATACAAGCTGTGCTGCCAATCCTGGAGAAGATGGGTTCTTCGTACAGGTGGTACCTAATGTCTCTGGGGCTTTCTGGATTTGTTCTGGGTGGATTTTTCCCAGCTGTTCCCTCCTCAATATAGTTATCCAACCGTTAGCAATAGGAAAGGGAGTTTTCCATCAGGAGAGAGAGCAGTGCTGTATGGCTCCAACAACCCTAAATTCTCCAGGACCCTGAATGTTTTGCAGCATTTCCGAGTCCCATAACAAATGAGGAGAAAACAAGTTACTATGAATGCACAGAGCAGGCTTTCAAACAGAAGTTTCTGTGAAAATATATTATTTTAAATAAAACCCTTCTCTACTGCACACTTCTCTTAGCCAGAACATGAGATGCAGAATTCAGTCTTAGCACAATGCAAAACAGGAGACCACATAAGGCCAAGTTTGCTAAAATCAGGTTGAAAGTCTCAGTTAAAAGCAAACTCATACTGCGCACAGAGCACGTGCACACCAATAAGGGACTATGTAGTTAGTACCCAAGCCAGCAATCTCTGGCAGATCAGAAAGATGCACACCTAGGAAAGTGTTCAAATTTTCTACGGCCTCTAGGGAAAAGCTTCCCCCTTCTTAATCAAAAGAAGCCCAAAGTGACTGTATTTGAGCGGCATGATTCCCACCTGAGACTTCAAAAGACCATCAGTTCTACGCAATTCACTCCAGTATCTCCAAAACTCTTCGCTACGGTATTCAAAACATGCAGCAAGTGACAAGAATACAACTAAAAAGCTAACCATTGTAGCAAGAAGTGACATGAAGAGACATAAAATTAGGTCCATCTTGTTTCCCTAAGACTTACAGCAAGCTGACTTGCAGGTGCTTCAGTTTTTAAGAGCGTGCTTGTTCCAGGCTCTACTACTTTGGTTGATTATGCTAAAAAATACTGTATAATGCCATGTGCATGGCATCTTCATGAGGATACATGAAGAAAATGAAACACAGATGAACAGATATAAGAAAAATATTCAAAAAATTAAGGAATAATATATCACAATGAGGAAAATTAATTTTTTTAATTTTACACATGGCAACATTATTTTTAGAGAGCATATAAAGAAATTGCTCCTGACGTTCTATCAGAAATTGGAAACTTCCATAAATATTAGAGGCACCTGCGTGAAAGAGTAATTTAAAACAACACAAAAGAACTTAAAAACTCTTACATCTGTCATTGAAACTTCCAGACACTAAGAACTTGCCCAGAAGAGGGTGCTAAGGGTAAATACTTCCTTGACCACTTCTGTATAAAAAGATATTTTAATATCTGACACCAGGAGGCAAAGACTCTACAGACAGTATTGTCATGTTACAGAGATATTAAACTTTTCCCGAGGCTCTCAAGACACTGCTCTCAAACTCCCTCTTTGCACAAGTACTCTACCAAAAGTCCTATGAACAGTTCTATTCTCTTCCCGCAGTTGAGTCATAGGAAGAAGTGCCATTAATAGCTCAAGCATATATCATATACATAGAGCACACTTAATAGAAGCTATTTTTTCCAGTGAGTTACTTTATCAGATGAGTAATTGATACCCAAAACAAAATGACACTAAGATACTGTAAATAATAAATATAATGTATAATTCAATGTATGCAATTCTCAGATTTTCAGCACCCTCAAGAGGGAAGCCTTTAGTCAAGCCTTGAAGACAAGTATTAAAAAGTCGTCCAACAAAAATAAAATGTTTTCATAAAAGAAAACATTCCTGTGAACTGATTTCACATCATTCTTTATTGTACATGTCTAGCTTACCGTGCGCTCCACAGCCTGCGCAGCGCTTGGGTCAGAGCTCCTGCTAGAGCATCTTTGCAAGACTCTGCGCCTTTTGGCTAACGTTAGGGCAAGATGCCAATATAAACATTATTTCCCACCAGCCCTGGCGTAAGTGTCTGAGACTCCTTTTCTTTCCTCCAATACTCCCTGAATACCACTAATCTCACCTTTGCCAACGCTGGCCTTAGGCACCCCCTCTCTCCCTCCTACCACCTAAGTCTTGGGCAAACACCTTGCCTCTCGCCCGCCTTCCTCCCAGACCTTTGGCCAGAGAGGAAGGGGTCAGGTACCCCAGGCTTCGTCCAGCCGTGCCTGAAGGCGCATGCGCGAACACTGAACACGGCCTCAAAAATACAGCAGAGGTCTGCCACCACTGGAGTATGCAGAAAAAGGTTTCAAAGCTCTTGAATAACAAGGAGTTAGCGTTCCCTACTTCTTGCGTTACCTTAACGTAGCCCACCCAGGCTCTCATGCAAGAGCAAAGTGCAAGTACTGAAGAAATTAGTAGAAAATACCCAGCACCTCAAAATGCACAAGTCCAGCCTGGCACCACACATTTATGGATTCCCAGCTGATGCAACTGTTCGTATAACTGATTGCACGGGTGGAATGACGACAGCAAAACCAAATGCTGTCAAGGACCTATGACATTTCAGGTTTGATCGTATTTTGACCATTGTTATGTGATTCAGAACATCAACCCCAGATAAAGGAGGAGTGAAAAAAAACCTGTTACACCTGGATCCAGTCAGAATTTCTTCTGTACTTGTTTTACACAGCCCTCTCCCATACCAGCACTGGTTTATACCAGATGGAAGTCACTTTAAAGGCCATTTAACAATGACTTTCAAATGTATCTGCTACAGAAGAATGTGCAAACCATTTTATGCTGAACATAATGCAGCCTGAACAGTTCTTTTGTTTCTCACATTTCCCTGCAGCGGAGTGATTCAGCAGCCACATATTAACAGTTAAAAAAAAAAAAAACAAACAGTTTGAGATCTCATCAATGTTTTAATCATAACATTTATATCAGTATATTAGCTAAATGGAAGTGGAGAGAAAGAGGAAACAAGCAGAGGCCTCATTTTTTCACTTCGCCCCCACGCGCATGTATATACGAAACACGCCCCCACACCCATCTGCCTTGCGCCAAAACGGAGGTAAACACTCCTCCACCTTCCCAGCTATTCGAACAAGTACTTACTAGCCAAAGACTGGTGTCAAAGCTGAAATCTGGCAAAACGGCATAGTATTTCCCTCCTGTGTCTGCTCCAATGTTTCCTCCTCCTCCACCTCTGGTTAACAACATTAGTATTTTAACTACTGGCTGTCGGTCGTTTCTCCTCCTAAAATCCTGCTTTCGTGTTTACTGAAAAATAAACTCTATTCCACTCCGGCATTTGTAGTAAAACAGGTAGTACTGAATTACAATAGAATCACCCTGACAATTTTGTACACACTTTATCAACTAAAGAAAATAAGTTTTTCTAGAATTTCTGAAAAATATATATAACAACTCCCAATGCTAGAAACTCAGCCATGGTTAAAATTAAAGGCAATGCCCATGATGGCATATTCTGTCTTTAAATTAAGGACCGCAAAAGCACACGCAGTTTAGATGATGCATACCCTATGGATGAAGCCATTACAGTCTTTGCTGCTGGTTTTTTGTTTTTGCTTTTTAAACCCTGATAGATAATGCCCTGGGCTCAGGAAAGCCCTGTGTCATAGATCCTGGAGGCTGTGACAGTGTTTGTGGAGACACCACCTAAAGTCCCAATACTTTATCTCTCTCTAGACACTTAGTGGAAACAAACACCAAGCTAGGGACCTTTGAGCTGATTCATTATGGCATTGTTTGTAAATATCTGTATTGTTTCACAAATTTAAAAGCTTAAATACATGTGGAAGTTTCCATTGCAGCTCACTTAACAGAGAACAACACTGTTCTAGGAATATGGCTGAAGCTTCTCAGAATACACTTTCTGAACAGTATTTTATCAGCACTAAAATTGACCAAATAGCACAAAACAAGAGTCTATTACATAAGAACTTCATTAAATAGTACATATCATCATATCTCCATTACACATTCTTTTACTTTTGTGCTGAGTACATCTATCGAGTAACCACTGTCACGGTTAAGTACTGGGGACTTGGCTGTGCTTGTTTTTGAGCAGAGCACATAAAGCTCTAGAACCCAACGCACTCCTTCACACACGTAACATCAATTTTTCCCACACTGCACAATCTATTCTACCGTTTTGCTGGTATCATCACCACCTGATGGCTCACCTGGGGTGAGCCAAACTTTTTCCTTACACTGTCACAAAAACAAGTAGACCAAGAAGACTTGCACTTTCTGAAGGTAAATATTCAATAGTCAGTAAGTATGTATTTGATTAAAATACTGTTATTACACATTATTGACTTGACTTACTACATCTTTCTAGCTTCTGCTGCATCTACTTTTCTCCTTTGCCATTCCTTTTCAGCTATTTTCTATTATGTCTTCCTCTTCTCCTTGTCTTCATCCCATTTGTCCTCAAAATATTCCCTCTAGACCCACTTTTTCTACCCTCTCCCCCCAGTCGTCTCATTTCATTTACTGATAAATTTTCTGTCCCAATGCAGGCGTTTAAGAGAGAAGGAGATTAACGTTGTTAGCCACTATCTGATACAGATAATATGGACGGGCTTCTTACTCAGGGTTAAAATCCTTGTGAGAAACGAACATGGGAATGCAGGGAAAAGGGAGCAGTTTTTGTGGGGGAT